TTCTGTGATTCTGTGATTCTGTGATTATAAACCATCCACTTGCTCACGAGGCAGGAAGGGCTGAGCAGCTCCACCACCATAGAATTATAGAATAGTCTAGGTTGGAAGGGACCTTTAAAGGTCATCTAGTCCAATCCCCCTGCAATGAGAAGGGACATCTTCAACTAGAGCAGCTGTGGCCCGACAGGCTGGCAGGCTGCAGACAGGCATGTTGTAGCTTGGTGGCGCAGACAGCACCGCTAACAACACTGAGCAAGAGCTCAGGCAGCATTGTCCTTTGCTCTCCTGGTCAGTGCTGAGCAGAGGAGCAGTGGCTTCTTATGGCTGTGAGCAATCTCCAAGAATCCCCTGGCAAATCCCTTGAGGACCACCACATTGGGCATTGAGCCACCATGCATGGAAAAGCCATGTGGTGTTTAAAAAGCTTTAAAGGGAGTTTAACAGAAAAAAAAAAGGACATCCCAGCACTCAACAGAAAGTATATTGGACAACCACAGCCAGCCCAGGACAAGTACAACGGGCTAAGAAGAACCCAAACCGTACTCCCAAGGGGACAGGACTGCCTGGTCAAGCCAAGGCTTCTCAGTGTTTGTGTGGATCACTCATCCCAGAGCCATGAAAACCCAAGGTTGATGACCCCAAAACATTTCCGACAGCAGCCGTCAAAGACTTGGCAATGTTACTACTTACTTTCATTGTCTCCCTCTTTTCGGGTATGACAGCAGTTTTGTAATCACGGTGCTGTGGCAGCTTCTCAATGAAGAGCCTGTAAACACAGGAGGGAAACCACATTTCTCAAACACAGCAGAAAGGGACAAGCACAAGGCAGTAAGTGGCATTTTGGGGGTACAGATGATTCCCCTCCAGCACCGTCCCCTTGCTCTGTCACCTCCTTGGGCTCTGTGCTGCCCACAATCAGGACAGTCGTCTGCCTTTCCGCAGGAAACCCTCCATCATATAATGGCCTTCTGAGCTCTTCACGGCACACAGATCGAGTTCAGTCCCAGGGGAGCACCTCACACAGGAGATTTTTCTTCTACCTGGACTTTGGAGATGATCCTCAGGGATAAATACATTTGTTTTGAACAGAAACATTAATAAGCTGGTCTGAAACACCAAGGACACTGGCAGCAATTCACGAAGGTCCTTGGGCACCTGCCTACACCTCTGCGAGCATCCAAGGGGATTACACACAAGCTCAAGGACATGGCTGACTCAGTGCTCACACCGTCCTTATGTACACTTTGTGCAAGGGATGGGGAAATTATCTCAGACCTTGAAAAGAGAAAAATTGCAGGTAAGCTAAAAGCAAGTTCACAACATCCCCAGCTGCTGCATCAGGAGCCTTTTGGCTCTGTGGCCCAACTACCCCAGAAGGTCAGGGAAATATTTCAGGCAGTGGGGCTATTTCTGTGCAGATTTCTGGGAGGGAAATCAAGATTGAACTCAACATCACCCGGCTCCCAGCACGACTACGAAGAGGTTAATCTTCAGCTTCTCTACAAATGCAGTAACTACTCCCCCTTTCCAGGGAGCTCTGCAGGACACAGTGGTGAAGATGCACAGAGAAAGAGCACTGCAAGCACTAGAACAAGGAAAAAAAGCCCGCAAAGATGGGGCAATTCACTCTGACTCAGCTCTGTGAAGCTCCCGCAGCCTTGAGGCATCCCCAAGTTATCTCTGCAAACAAGTGCCCGTGGCGCATTAGCTGACTGCGTGCTCAGGGTGAGCTCACAACAAGCTTAAATGGTCCTTGTCTCCTGCAAGCGGAGTTGTGCTTGCTTTGAGTGTCCACAAAGCCTGTGGGCATAAAACAAAACACCCTGCCCTCTTTCGGGATGCTTTGCTACACCGCTTCAGCATCCGAAGGAAGATGCTCTCTGGCTCCTTTAGAGCGGCCTCGTGCCCAGGCACAAGGAAGGGTAGTGAGGACTAGACTATGCCCCAGGGAGTCAAACAAACAAACCAAGCATAGCCAAGCGGGAAAAACTCAGAGGGGACAGAGTGAGAACACTCTTCACACTGAGAAGCCTCTCTGTGTACGGTAAATAAACCCAGCTGCTTCAAAACCTCAGTCCTCTGGGAAAAAGAAGGATTTTTTGCAACTCCAAATGCTCCTGGTTGCCACAGAGAGCGTGAGGATGCTCTCGCCAGAGACCGCAGGATCAGCATAACCACGTCACAGCCCGGAGCCACAGAGAAGCCATTGCTCCATCCGAAATGCCCAGCAAGGTCCCTGCTCCCAGCTGGTGGTTGTGAAGTAGGTCACTGTGTCGAGGAGACAAAACAAGGCTGTGATCATTGCCAACAGCTAGCAGATTAAAATGGAAGGGATTAATTAAGAAGGATTAAGAGCAGATGCTGGCCTGGGGAGGACGGAAAAACCAGCAGAGACAGCTGGGTTTCCACAAGCCAGGAAGGGGGGCAAAAAAGTGGGCAGCAGGATGAGGGGAGGACTCGGGCACCCGGAGGAAAACTCTGGGGCAAGACCAGGCAGTGGCCTGGTGGGGACAGAGGCAGAGGAAGGGCAGGAATGGTTCATGTTTCCTATCGACAGCCCAGCTGAGGTTTGGCAAGACTGAAACCTGCGGCTCCCATCTCCAGGAGTTTTGGGCTTGTTCAAACCTCCGCCTGCTCCTGAGTCCACTATGAGCAGCAGCTGTTTGGCACCGAGCAGCCACATCACAGGCTATTTTTAAGCACTGCTACGGCATGCACGCCAAGCCGGTGTCTCTCAAATCCCTTGCAACACCCCACACAAACTGCTAGGAGCCAATCCTAGCAGCTCACAGCCACGCAGGCAAACCAGGAGCCCAAACACCACAGAAAATTCATGTCTTGTTTTTTTTTCTTTCTTATTTGGCTCTAGCAAAATCCAACCTAGTGTGCCTGATGGCAATTCAAGGAAAACATCCACTCAGATCAACACAGAAGCAGCTGTTCAAGAAGACAAGCAAGCAGTTGTCTTCCAAGGCGACAAGACACATGTGTTAAAAGTCCAGCCTGGTTTTTCTGAAAGATAGCTGTGCCATCCTCCTGCCCCCAATGTGGGCTTCGTTTCTGGATGGGAAAGAGAGGTACTGTGCAGCCAAACGACCTGCATGAGACTGAGCAGGCCACCAGGGTCCAAGCGGAGAACTGGCTGCCTCAAGGGGAATCTCGGTGCAGATCTGTCTTGCTATTACCCCACCTCTAGACAAGATTGTCTCAAAACTGACGGCTCTCCAAATCAGGCACCACAACACAGGTTTCATTGTGTAATTCACATCTTGATCAGCCTTGAGGAGTGCTGTATTGGTAAATAAAGAAAAATTCAGATTCCTAAAGCCACATAGACCACAACTCGCTCCCAAGGACAATGCGCTCACTCCCACCAAACACACCAAGCTAAGAGCGTCTCATGTACTTCTCAGGGCTGGGGTCCTCCCCTTCCCCAAGGTGCAGCCTGATGCAGAAAGCTCCTGCACTAGGCCATGCACTCCAGCAGGGAGCAGGGCTCCGAGAAAGGACAGACACAACACTGACTGCAGATGTGGGCTGAATCATCAGGGAAAGAATTCTGGTCCCATTTCTAGAAAGGGGAGAGCACAGCAAGTCTCATGAGAGGCTTCGATTACCAGTGCCCTGCTCCTGCCTTCTGCATCACACCCTTGGGGAAGGACATCTAGAAACACTTCATCAAGCCTACCGCTTGAGCTCCAGCTTCACATTTTCATTTAAAGAAATGAGATGGTGACATTAAGTTTATATCTTCAGACAATCCAGGTCCGAAGCTCATATTTATCGGCACTAGAGAAATCACACCACTGAGGGAAAGTTTCTTCACCTTCCTGGCAGCCCAGCAGCCAGGCTAACGTAAATACCATGAGCATCTGAAAGCTGCCAGAGAGAAAACACACCAGCACCATCATTGCTATAATGAAACAGCAAAGGTGCTTTTAGTTCATTTGTTTAGTTAAAGAGTTTCTCCTTTGGCCACAGCTATGTGACCAGCCTGGAAACCTTCCCGAGGGTTTTACACTTCCCAGCTCCCTGTGCAGCCTCCCAGGGCACTTGCTACGATGCCCATAAAAGCTCAGGCAGCAAGGCGGGAAGAAAAGCTAATCAGAGAAAAATGTGCTGGATTTAAGGGGCAGGAACCCTAGGCACAGGGGCAGGGGGACAGGGGGAGAAAACACTCATGGAGATGCCAACCACATTCTGGTAGAGTGGGCACAGCAGTGACCATACCAGAGTGGCACTGGGCGAAAGCGGGAGGGACAGGCTTCTGGCCAAAAAACCTACAGGAACAGGACACTCTGTGGCATCGGGATATTTTCTGAGAATCACAGGCCCTTTAAACACCAACAGGCACAGCTACACAGAGGCACATGTTTGCTCCGCTCGTACTCCGGGCTGCTCAGACACAATCCAGACCTGACACCACGTCACCGTGTTAGTGTGGTGTACACTGCAGCTCGGCAGGCACGGCAGTGGGGTTTCAGACCCAAGATGGCTTGTTTCTGGGCAGCTGTGGAGATGACGGCAAGAATATGCAGCTCTGCACTTGGCTACAGGGAGTGTAGACCCTACAGTTGGAGACCCAGCAGCTGAAACACCAAACAGGGTCTCGGCTGGGTTTATGTACAATCTGGAGCTTTCTAGAAGGGTGCTCAGTACCCAAGAAATTCACCAGTTGATTGGGATCAGGTTCTTTGTACCCAGAACTCTTCCCCACGTCCTTCCTGCAAAGGGCTTGGGTGTACACATATGTGTTTGGTGTGGGGGAAGGAAGATTATATTCTCTCAGAGGTGTAAAACTGAATGTACAACTGGTCCCTGCACCTGAAGGAGGAACTCGCTGCCTGCTGTAAAAGGCTGTAGCAACCTAAGTGTAAAGCAGGCTTCTCCTCCACAGATGGTTTATTAGAGAAACCACCAACCAGCCTAGATCCTTTCCAGGTAGATACCCGATACTGAGATCCTCAACCGCGGATTCTTGCCAATCCACATGTTGTCACGGCCAACCTAGCGACAAATCGAGGCCAATCTAGCCACTCTGCAGTGATAAAACACCAGGAAGCTTCAACACACAGGGAGCCAAAACCTCCCTCCTGATGGCAGGAGTCTCCACTAGCAGATGGACAGAGGGATACAAGATAGTCTGGTTTCAAAAGGAACTTCTACAAACCTCCTGCAAAGAGATGAGCGGTGTTTGTGGGTTTGTGCCTCACATGTTTACGATATCTCCTGGTCAGTCTAACCAACTGTATCCTCATCTCCAAGGGAACCAAAATTCAAAAGGACCAGAGCTCTGGACAAGAACCCAGTTTTTCCAGCTCAACAAGGCCTCACAGTGTTTAGACATGCTCAAAATACGCAACACCAAACCCATAACCCCTTGTATTGACACGGGTTACTTGCAAACAAAGCAACACTGCTCTTACGTGATGTATTTGTTGTATAAAATAAAGGCATGCTCAATATTGCCTTCCTCCGAGTAAATGGTCGCCATGCGGAGGATTTCCACTCCGGAGCGGTAGTAGCGTCGCGGTGGGACATCCTCGTTCACCTCCACAGTGCTTCCCATCTGGATCAGTCTTCGGACTCGCTCCTCTGGCGGGAGGCTGACGTCGGCATGGTCGGGCATAATGACACACATCAAAGCTACCACGAAGCTGACGAACTCTGTGGTGGGAGAAAAATCAAGAGCATCAAAACCGGCGCAAACCAGTTAACTCATCCAGTTTCCTCAGGACTGTCTTTCCTCGACAGAAATCACCTCCCATCAGCAGGGAAGCATTTAATACATGGGCCAAGCTAGGTCTTGAGGGAGGAATGTCTAAGAAGCCCAGCTCTTTTTGGGCACAGTGCTTGGATATTTACCCTTACAATCTGAAAGGCAGCCACAAATTCAAGATCAGTCCTTAGTAATTAATCTCAAGCTAGGGTTTGACCCGTCCAAATCCTACCCAAAGTAGCGCTTCCTTCCCAGTTGTCTCTCCACACAACAAAACTAGTGCCAGTCGCTGGTTTGCGGGGAGATAGCCGAAGTATTTCATTCAGACTTGAGCAGAAGCAGCTTTACACGGGGTTGCAAACACTGCAGCATTCATCGTTTTGATTAAACAGCAGTGAGAAGAGGACAGAGCTGAAGGCCATCCTTTCAGCCACTGCTGCTCAGTAGATCCATCCCTACCCAACAAGCTTGATCCCAAATTGCTCTTGCCCAGGCACAGACACAATCCCTCTCTCCCCTGTGCTGTGGGAGGCACGCCCATCACCCCAGGAATGCACCTCGACCTGATCTGTACGTTTGCCTCCTGCTTGGCTCTGACAAACCCCTTCTCACCCACAGCCCCATGGCACAAGCCGATAAATTTGAAGCTGAGGAAGCACTGCGATCCAAGAAACCCTCCACAACACTTCTCTCCCTACACCAAAAGCAGTTTTCCCCTGGAAAAGCCATCCTGGACGAGTGTAAGGATTAAACTCTATGAAATCACAGTGCTGAATCCACAGCACCTCACAAGCCTTCCAGCAATGCGACTGCCACACGTGTGACATCACGGTTTATTGCAGCTCCTTCCTAAACAAGGGAAAGGTTCTGAGCTGAGCTAAGCACCACCTGAGGGTCCTGAGAGACAGAGGAGTTGCCTTTCTGGGGTTACCTCAGAGGAGAAGCCCTTTTTTAAGGCAGGCAGGCCCACGTTTCTCAGCCTGCACCCTGGAGGGGCTTCCACAGGTCTCTTGCCCTAAGCAAGGGCTGTGGGATTCGGTCCTGCCAGAGGCTGCCATGCCGAAACGCTCACTTACGGGGTGCGACAGAGCCACAGCTCAGCGTGGGCTTCAGCTCCTCCTCCTCACCGGTGCTTCTACCCAGTTCTACTCAGCTGTCCACCAGGCCAGAGCTCTCAGTCACCTCCCCAAACCAAAGCCCCCCCTGCCAAGTTGCACAGTCCTCCTCTCCCGAGAGAGAGCAGACAACACTCACACACCACAATTCCCGGTGCCCCCAACCCAGAGCTCCCCCTAATTCCCACTTTACCTCTCAATATAAAGAACGTGCCCAAGCCACCCCCCTCCTGGAGCTGC